TACAGTGTTGACTAGGTGGTTAGAGAACATCCAATAAGGTGTTACCTACAATGTTGACTCAGTGGCTAGACAGAGAATATCCAATTAAGTGTTACCTACAGTGTTGACTCGCTGGTTAGAGAACATCAAATAAGGTGTTACCTACAATGTTGACTCAGTGGTTAGATAGATAACATCCAATTAAGTGTTACCTACACTGTTGACTAGGTGGTTAGAGAACATCCAATAAGGTGTTACCTACAATGTTGATTCAGTGGTTAGATAGATAACATCCAATGAAGTGTTATCTACACTGTTGACTCGCTGGTTAGAGAACATCAAATAAGGTGTTACCTACAATGTTGACTCAGTGGTTAGATAGATAACATCCAATAAAGTGTTATCTACACTGTTGACTCGCTGGTTAGAGAACATCAAATAAGATTAGAAAATATATAGAATATACATTAAAATATATATGTTTCATTTTCCTCTAATTTAACTATTATCGGGACCGTTGAAGGATACAGAAAGTATCGCCCCATAGATCTTTTGCAATTGATTTTAAATAACCAAATAGAAATATAACCGTGACGTATTAAAGAAAATGACGTATATGTTAATGAACGTTTTATATCAACTTTTACTGCAGTGTTTCTTCAAGACTTATTAACACAAAACCTGTTGTTGTTTCTGTTTTGCCAGTACAGCTCTTGTCCACATCTAGAGAAACATACCTCCCGAGTGTCATAATGAAAATATTTTTTCGGAAGTCAAATGTTTAAACGTTAAACCAATTCTCATAAGCAAATTGCAATAATGGATATTTTTTAAAGACTTAATTTAAAAGATACAACTCTGGCAGATAAAGATTTCTGAAGAATAGAACAAAATTATCTTCCAGAAAGCGGAAGTTGTTTAAACTAGTGTTCATTTATTTCTATATAAAACAATTTTTAAGTTATTGAGAGTTTTAACACAAGCTTTTGTTTGTCAATAATTTGAATTTTTTAAAATATTGTCTTGAAAATGTTTTATAGACTTTACGCACTAGACTCGTGTATATTTTATACAGACCACAGAAGTAAGCTTCATGTATAGAATACAGATGATAGAATTCACACGCGTGTAGATTACAGAGGGTACAATCTGCATATATAAACACAACAGAGGTTAGAATTCACTCGCATATATATATATATATATATATATTAAAGCCAGTAAAATCCGCATATATATAGAGACAGAAAAATACAATTATATATAGACTACAGGCAGTAGAATCCACACTATCTAAATTACAAACAGGAAAATCCATATATGTAGAGACTACAAACCGTAGAATCTATATACAGATTACAGACAATAGAATTCTCTCATAATATAGACAGTAGACCCCATACACATATGTAAATCACAGACCATATAATCCACACATTTATAAATTAGAGATAGTATAATCCACACATATATAGATTACAGACGGTATAATCCTCACGTATATTGATTAGAGATAGTATAATCCACACACATATATATAGATTACAGACGGTATAATCCACACATTTATAAATTACAGGTAGTATAATCCACGCATATATAGATTACAGACGATATAATCCACATATGTATAGACTACAAAGAGTAGAATTCATATATAGATTACAACCGGTAGAATCCACACGTATATAGACTGCAGACAGTAAAATCCACATATATATATATATATACTACAAACGGTAGAATCCACATATATATGTTAAAGACTAGAATACACATATATAAATTAAAGACGGAAGAATCCACATGCATATAGACTACAGATTGTAGAATCCATACGTATATATATATAGACCAAAGACGGTAGAATCCACGTATATAAATTACACTCAGTATAATCCACACATATATAGACTACAGACGGTATATTTGATATATGTTTAGGTATGGAAGAGGGATGTCAGCATTTAGCTTTCTTGGGTAAAAATAATAATTTTCTAAGGTCGCTCAGTTTAAACAAGTTAATCAATAATAGATAAAGCCACAGAATTACACATGTTCAGAAAAGTTAATAGAAATTTATAAATATACATAGCTTTAAGATAGAATAGCTAGTGTACGTTCATTTTCATCACTTCACATACGTCTTTTCTTTTAGTTCTTTATATTTACTGTCCATATTCGTTTTACGAAAAGCTGCATCACTTGGGCGGTTTGAATAGTCATTATTTGCACCTATAGTATAATACCTTGGTTTATAAACTTTAGGTAATTATATAAGAAAACAAAATAAACTTTAAGTCGTGTCTATTGAAATTCCGACATTTTTATTCTGCTAGGAGACTGCTACATGAATATTTCAAGAATTTCGCTGCTTTATAAGTATTTTGGCTTAACTACACTATAAACAGCATCTAGCTTGCTAATGTGGCCATAAGGTAAGTTATGAAGAGGAGAGCTACGTGGCCTGTAACCCCAGTACGGCTCTTTAACTCCACTGTAAATGAAAGGTTTCGTATCCGTATACCCAGGACAAAGGGCCGGATTCTCTTGACAGTATTCTCGACCCAGAGCCTTCACATATCCGAAGCCTTTTTCGACCTGCGTAGAGGGGTTACTTCCGTACTTTACCCCAAAACCATACGTGAATAACTCCCATGGACCTTTGCCGTAATTTTCTGGGGAGTTGAATTGGGCTCTTTTTTCATAGATGATAACGGATTTCGACAAGTCTTCAGATGGATTCTTCTGATCCTTACCATGATCAGGTAGTTTTACCGAGGACAGATCTTTCTCTTTGTCTTCTTGCTTGGATGCACAAACCCAGATAGCTTCCTGACACAAAAGAAATCCCTGGAAAGAAAAACAGAACAATCTGTAAACAAGGAAAGGAGAAGAATGGGACAATTTATGAACAAGGAAAGGAAAAGAATGGAACAATTTATAAACAAGGAAGGGAGAAGAATAGGACAATTTATAAACAAGGAAAGGAGAAGAATAGGACAATTTATAAACAAGGAAGGGAGAAGGATAAAACAATTTATAAACAAAGAAAGGAGAA